ACGGGCCAAATTCTCAAAACAGTTGCAGCAAAACTAGATGAAACAAATCTATAAATTAAAATTTTAAATCCTCTCTTCAATAAGTCTGTAGTTTGGGATTAGTTGGAAGCTTCCATCACAGACTGTTCAGAAACTAATTTGGTTGTGTGAAATAAGGCAGGGGGCCCAGAAGTGTAGGCCTTCAAGTCAGAGTACTAATGCCAGAAACCCCAGTATTGCCAGATGCTGGGGAAGGCCTGGAGGTCCCCCAGAAGCAGAGGAGCAGCATCAAGCCAAGAATGAGCACTGGTATTGAAAGTCCTTTGGACCTGAGTTCAAGTTCTGCTTTCATCTTTCCTTGGCTTTAATGGATGTCTCAGGATTGTACCATTTCTGGCAAACTATCTGCTTATTCATGGCCGTGGTATGGGGCCTACACTGTTCTCAGCCCACTCTGAGCATCCTCTTTCTAGTTTTTTTCTTAAGGTTTATTTATTAATTTATTTTTAAATTTTATATGTACACGAGTGTTTTGGCAGCATGAATGTGTGTGCACCACATGTGTACAGTACCTGTGGAGGTCAGAAGAGGGCATCAGAACTCTGGAACTGGTGTTACAGATAGGCGTGAGCTGCTGTGTGGTTGCTCGGAATCCAATCCCTCTGCAAAAGCAACAACCACTAAGCCATCTCTTCAGCAGCCCTCAACCCCCCAAACCGGCCAGGTTTTTTGTTGTTGTTGCTTTTTGGTTTTTCAAGACAGGGTTTCTCTGTGTAGCCCTGACTGTCCTGGAACTCACTCTGTAGACCGGTCTGGCCTTGAACTCAGAAATCTGCCTGCCTCTGCCTCCCAAGTGCTAGGATTAAAGGCATGTGCCACCACCGCCTGGCCCTCCGGCCAGGTTTTTAATACAACTACTGCTAAGCCTCTGCCCAGAAAGTCTGATTTCGTTGGTTTGAAACAAGTTGTTCAGTGTACAGTCAGGATGAAGAATCACAAAGATGATTTCTCAGACTTGCTCAGTTCTGAAATTCTGTGAAACTATGAGACACCTACAGCCTTCTCATGGAAGAAAGTTTTAGGAGACTAAAGTCTAAGAAACAGTAAAGCAATCTAATCAAAGTATGTATTATCTCAAATGGTGCAGAAAATGTCATCGCCAGTTAATATTTTGCACCCAACATGATTTAGACCTGGGGCATATATTGTACTCCGAGCCCATTGTAAACACAATGGACCATTTATTCACTGAACAGTAACCACTGTAATTACCTACAGGGCAAACATAGGAGGTTGTTCGAGCAACAATTTATTGTGGACCTGGAACTAATGGGAGACTAATAGGAAAGTATCAGTGAGAGCACAAATCAGAGATCACGTCAGAAAACTGGTATTTCCCAAAGTTTAGTAGACAAGCATCTGGGGGATTCGGTGAGCATACGTAATGCCCCAGGTCTGAGATAGTCACTCCCAGACTTTTCTAATAGCTTCTTAGCTGGTGGGAGGAGGAGGCTTACCATGTCATTCTAATCTTAAGAGAAAAGTTCTGAGTACTACATTGGACAAGACTGGACACAGCTGCTGTTTCTTGTGGTCCCTGTGGGACCCACCATGTGCCCCTGGAAAGCAGGTGTATAGATCTTGTTCGGATTGTAGGGCACTCTTTATCAATCTGATAAAGCCATGGATTCTTGTTTTGTTTTGTTTTGTTTTTTTAGAAAAAAAAATGTGTGTATCTGTGTGTACTGAAGTACCCGTGCAAATCTTTCCTGCAGTGTTCGGAAGGGTCGGTGGACAGCGGGTCCCCTCGGTCCCTGCTGCTTAGTCCAGCCTCTGTGTGTATCCCTCCCTGTACAGGGTCTTACTGCTTCTGATGTCAGGCTTTCAGTGTGCTCAGCCCAGAGAATGAGGATGCTTCCACGTGTCTAGCTGGAATTTCACTCCATGTAGACTCTTCCCTCTGGTTCTGAGCATCTCTACAATTTTTAAGATAGCCATATCCTTCCTCTTTGTCAATCTAGGAACATCTTTGGGACTGACTTAGAGTTTCTATTGCTGTGAAGAGACACTGTGACCGTGACGACTTTTGTAAAGGAAAGCATTTCATTGGAGTGCCTTACAGTTTGGAGGTTTAGTGGTGGGTAACATGACAGCGTTCAGGCAGAGATAGGGCTGGAGAGGTAGCTGAGAATTCTACATCTTTAACAGCAAGCAACAGGAAGAGAGAGAGAGAGAGAGAGAGAGAGAGAGAGAGAGAGAGAGACTGGGTCTGGCTTGAGCTCCTGAAACCTCAAAGCCCACCCCAGTGATGCACTTCCTTCAACACAGACAAACCTACTCCAACAAGGCCACGTCTCCTAATAGTGCCACTCCCTAGTGACCAAGCATTCAAATCTGTGAGCCTATTGTGATCATTCCTATTTAAACCACCAGAGACCTTAGAAGTTGGTTTTTCTCGGGGCTGTCTCCACATAGAGACCATTGGGTTATTGCATAATCACCTCCAGTGGACAAGGTCTATGGGTGCTGCAGAGTGGATGTAAGACATCCAGGGGCCTTAGGGAGTAGTTGTGTGCTCTCTGGTCCAGACCATCAGAAGGACAGATCTCCACCACCTTCCCTGAAGCCCTATAGAGAGTTGGTAAAGGCAACAGTAAGGACTTTATATCATAGCTCAGGAGTCCTGGCTGCTGTCCCTTGGGGCACTAGGCTGGGCTCACATAGGTCAGAGTTCCTGCTACCGCTGCAACAGATGAAAGCACAGAGGAAGGTATCAGTGGCAAGCAAGCTGGCTTCAGCCTTCCTTCCCTCTCTGTATCAATGGATAAATAAAACAAAGAGAGGAAAGAAGAAGGAAGAAAGGAAGAAAGGAAGTAAGAGAGGGAAGGAGGGAGGGAAGGAGGATCCATACAGAAATTCTCTCAGACTAGAAGAGTCCTTTCTAAATAGCACACAAAATCTGAAAAAGTAAATGGAAAAAATGAATTTCAACTATGGCTCAAAAATTTTTCCTTTAAAAACTGTTTAGTACATTTGTGTATGAACGCACATGTGTTTGTGTGCACACGTGTGCATTGTGTGTTTGAGTGTGTGCGTGTGTATAGGTATGTGTGTGCATGTGCGTGCCTCTGTGTATGTGTGTGTGTGTGTATGTGTGTGTGTGCAGGCACACGTATGTACAGGATTATCAGTTCTCTTCCTCTAGCATGTGTGTCCTAGGGGTGGAGCTTTGTCCACTTGGTGGCAAGCACCTCTACTCACTGAGCCACCTCACTGCCCCAAACCCATTTCTATGTGATAAAAGTCGCCATGATACCAAAAGACAAAGCACAAACTATTAATAAATGGAAAATTAGGGGCCTCAATCATTTCCTTGATATAGAAGATCACTTCCTTTACAGACAGACAAAGAAGGTTAAGACTCAGAGTGGGAAAGGGACAAAGGATAATGGCTATCTCCATCCAGAGAGGAACTGCGGATTGCTCTCAGACCTTGGAGGAGGCACAGCCTCTTGTCCCCTGGAGATAAATGCAAATGAGAAGTGCAGCCAGATGCTGCTTTCCTACCCTCTCCCTGCAAGGTTCAAAACGGTTGCTGCTTCCTTCTGTGGATGAGGCCGAGGGGCGGAGAACAGAGATCAGAGGGAGCCTTAGGAAGCGGTGACATTTAAGCTGGACAGATAATTAAAATCCAATTTAACAACTTACTGGCACTTAAAAGAAAACAAAGAAATAATATAGAGAAAGATGGACAGATTGACTGTCGGGTGTAAATTAAAATACCACGTGTAAGGACAAACAACATGAGGTTTGTGGTGGCCATGCTAGCCGGAGTGTGAAGGCTATACATTTTAAATGCCTCCTTTAAGATCAATTTAAAAGGACCAGCATCTTACTCATAGATGAAGGCAGACAAAAGCATTTTCTAAAATAGGACCCACTCCTTAGGAGCCACCCATGGAAAAAAGCTCAACAGTATATGTAACCATGAATGTAACAGATCTCGTTTCTGTGATAGCTTATTATAAAATTACATTGAAAATTGGTGCATACTCCCTGCTGACAAGATTGTGGTGAGATTGGACCTTTAATTATCTCTGACTAGCATATATGCAAAGTGGATGGAATCTTTTTAAATTATTTAAATGTGAAGAGATTAAAGGTTTGCAGATTTTAGTTTATTTTATTTTTGAGGCAGAATCTCAGGTAGCCCAGGCTGGTCTCAGAGTCATTATGTAGCTAAGGATAACCTTGAACTTCAGATCCTCCCCCTCCTGGGTGCTAGTGTGACAGGCATACTGCCACTTACACATTGCTGGAGATGCAAGCTACAGCTTCACGATGCCAGGCAGGCGAGCATTCTACCCCCTGTGCCACGTGTCCAGGTCATTACCTGAAAACATTTATACCACAGACTGTGGAAATATTCTCAAATATAGAAGGGAAACACTATGCACCAAGATGCCCATATGACAATGACAACTAATGCAGCAGACAGCATGGCAAGTGAAACAATTTTATTGTCTCCCAAAAAGCTGGTGTGTTCATATGCTAGATGCTAATAATATCATATGACAAAGAACTTCAGACTGGAAGGTTCCTTGCTTACATGGGAAACCGTTCATTTGTGTATAGAGAACAATGTGATAAAAACACTGATCACAGAGAACGTTCTGGAATGAAACAGATCACACTATTGATGGTTCCATTCCTTTGGAGTGGTGTTGCTCACTGCCCATATGACCCTTTCTCCTTATCTTACATTCTTTCCAAGTTCTCTTTTAAGAATTCCCTTTCAGAAGGCCAGAGTTCAGTTCCCAGTTCACATCTGCCTGTAACTCCACTTTCAGAGCATCTGACACCCTCTTCTGCTCTCCTCAGACACCTGCACTATGCCCACCTACGCAAAGACACGCACAATTCACACAATTAGAAACGAAACGACTTGTCCCATGAGAGAAATGCCTGCCTGTAAAGACTGGGTGCATGGCTCCAATAAAAGTGTCCTCTCGTTTTCTCAGCTTTCCTTCGCCGCCACCACACCTGTTCTTGCGGATAAGAAGAAGTACCCATATTTCTTCCGGACGGTGCCCTCAGACAATGCCGTGAACCCGGCCATCCTGAAGCTTCTGAAGCACTTCCGCTGGCGGCGCGTGGGCACACTCACGCAGGACGTGCAGCGCTTCTCCGAGGTACTCACAGCCTACATTTTAAGGGGGATTGTTCACTATGTCATTTACATACATGTGTCATTGTACCTAGCTCCAATAACCTCCTGCCCCTCCTTCCCTCCCGATTTGTTCCCTTAGTCTGGCTCACCTCGGTCATCCTCTCTTGTTCTCTCTTCCCCCTTTATACCCCTTCCTCTGCTCCCTTTACTCCTAACCCCCCATTCTGACTTTCAGTCCCCCAGGGGTGTTTAGTTTAGCATTCATCCACCTAGAATGCTTCTCAACAGATCCATTTAAGCCCCAGTGACTTCATACCATATATGAAATGAATAGTTTTGCTTTGCATTTGCTCTGCAGTAGGTCCCAGAGACCTTGATTGGACCCCTGTTTAGTAGGCTTATGTGAGTGTGCACATGGGTGTGCTGTAGCTCATGGAACTAGACCACTGGGTGTGGGGTGTCCACAGCCTTGTGCCTCACAGCCTCCACTCAGGCCTAGGTGTGCATGTTGCCAATATCTTTCTAAAAGTGAAGCTACAGGCTATTAGAAATGAAAGGAACTAACTTCCAAAACGGCTGATTCACTTTCAGGATGCTAGAAGGTTCTCATCTGGGCACCTCCTCACCAGCGGCGAGGTGTTGCATGTTGGTTTGCCATTTTCTTTTTCTAACATCTCCTCTACCTCCTTTTCTCTTCCCATGTGGATCAAATCACAGGGAGGCTTAGAAGCATCCTGTGGGCCATGGGTCAGGGAGGTTACACCCGAGAGCTGGGTGAGCAGCCAAGCCTCAAGAGGAGCTGTGTCCTAGGCTCTAGCAGGGTTTGAAAAGGAAGGCGCTGGGCGTCAACAGCTTGGCTTCCACTGCGGGTTCCACAGATCTCTTTCTCTACCCAGCCGTCACTCAGCGGCTGCCTGTGAGAACCTAGAAAGGCCCCCTCGCTGCTCTGAGCTGCGGTTCCAATTCCCGGAAGTAAAATAAGGACAACAACCCCCCACCCCCACCAATACCTCCCTGTGCGTGTGTGAACTGGCACTGTGAACGGTAAAGCCCTGCACAGAAAGGAGCTGGAAATATTTGGAAGTGATCCGAGCCAGGCGTGCGTTCCCAGGCAAGGCCCTCAGTGAGGACCAAAGGAACCTTGACCTCCAGTGGGAACCACTCTCTGCCAAGCTCTGAAGAGGCTCTTGCTGGCAGACTTCTTTATAGAGCAATGAGAGGGCTCCCAGTGAGTGAGAAACCCTGCGGTGATTCAGGGGTGCCTGCTCAAATAGCGTCTTTGGCAGTAGGAATCTAAAAAGTCCTTAGAGACACCACTAGTAATCTCTTCATTGTGTAAAAGGGGAAACTGAGGCCCATAGCTGGGAAGGGGCAATGTTCCAGGTTTCAAAGCATCTCCAAGGGGACAAAAGGTGGTTCAGACCAAAAGATGAAGTGGGGGTATGGCTCAGTGGGACAGTGCTTGCCTGGCATGCACGAAGCCCTGGATTCCACCACAGAATCACATAAACCAGGTGATACACACTTGTGATCCCTGCACCAGGAAGATGGAAACAAGGCCACCAGAAGGGTAAAGCCATCCTCTGCTACACAGCAAGATCAAGGCTTGTCTGGGACACATGAGACCCTGCTTTAAGAAAAAAAAGAAGAAAGAAATTTAAATTAAAGAGACAGGAGAAAAGGACTGAATTACAAAGTCCTAAGCGCTGGTTCAGACATCATTCCTTTTGCAGGCATAACTTCCTAGAGTCACGTGGGTACTGCAGGCAGAGAGCCTCCGAGATCTGAAGCTCATGGAGCTTGGTCTACAGCAGTGGTTCTGAACCTTCCTACAGCTGTGATCCTTCAACACAGTTCCTCCTGTTATGGCGACCTCCACCATAAAATTATTTTCACTGCTACTTTATAACTACAATTTTGCTACTATTATGAATCATAATGTAAAATATCTGTATTTTCCTGTTGGTCTTAGGTGACCTCTGTGAAAGGGTCATTTGATTCCCCAACAGGTCAAGAGCCACATGTTGAGAACCACTGGTCTAAAGAGTGCAGCCTAGCTGTCCCCTCAAGTGCTTTGAAGATCTCTGAGCTCTCTCCCCCTCAAGATGCCTTCCTCCACCCTCATCATATTATCTGCCATCCCCCTCCCTGCTAAGGATCCTGCCCGATAGGGCGAGGTGATGACTCCCATATTGCAGATGAGAAAACTTAGACATGGCAGAGGGCAGGTGGCTGTGCCTGGTGCTCCAGCTGCTGGTCTATGACACGGTCCTCCCAAGTCACACTGTTCTCCCTACAATCAGGTGCTGGCAGTTTGGTGCCATATCATATGCCTCCACACAGGGCTGTTTGCTGCGGGTCTCTGCATCTCAATGGGAAGTCTCTGGAACACAGGATGTAGCTCGGTGGCATTGCTGTCAAGGACCCTCCTTGATTAAAGCACTCGGCCCAGCTGACTCCTCTCTGCTTGAGAACCTTGGCATCCTCGCCAGGTGTCTGGGCTGTACCACTGGAGTGCAGCTGCTGGATCCTAGCCAGGGGCTAACAGCTTCTCAGGAGTGCAGAGAAAACTAGGGAACCAGTCAGTTGGCAGTATTGAACATTTCTGTTCTGGATAGGCGTACTGGGAGGGACCTAAAGGGAAAGCCAGCCTGAGATTGGAGGGAGGTGTAAAATCCCAGAGTTCATCACTGTGGTACTGGTGCTATGGGCCACGCAGAGGCTGGAGGCCATTTCAGCCATGGCACCAACTGCTCCTGCAAGCCTATAGTTTCTACTGTGTGGTGGCAATACACCTGGGAGATCTGAACCAACTTACCCCGGATAGGAAACCCATGACGGACTAAGGATACCACTAATGCCCGACTGGTGATCCAATGGGTGTCCTCGGTTACTTATAAGGCTATAGGTGAGGGAGCAGAAATACTCAAAGGCAGCTGCAATCACCACAGCCCAACACAGCATGGGTGACAGTTCACAAAGGTTGGAAACCTGGAGCACACTGCACAGACTGCAGACAGCTTAAGAGGTCAGCACCTTTTCCAGGTAGCTCGCTTGAGCCTCTTCTAGACAGGTGTGCTGGTCATTGCTCAGCAGTCCTCATTCTTATATAAGCATGGGTAGGGAGGGGCCCAGTGAGTCTGTTCAGTTTTAGGGACTTCCTGAAGCGTTTTAGATGTTTGCTTTCTGGTCTTAAAGAGTTTCTGCACAGGATGAAGTGTTCCACCTCCCCATAGAATATCCTGTATCTTAAGAAGATTTCTTCTAAGATGAAATGTTTAATCTTAGAGGAAATAGCTACACAACAGTCCCCGTGAGTCAAAGCTGATACCCAATGACCCCCAGGCAGCTCTGGATCTGGCTCAGACAGACGAAGGATTTGTGGCTAGAAAGACCAAGTGTGCTGCAGCCATGCCCTCTTTGAATTAGAGACTGTAAAACCGGAAAAGGAATGACTCAATACCAGGCAGATTCATCCACAAGCCTGGCTTTTCAAGCAATGTTGCAACACCACATGCTTGCTTCAGTTTACAGCAGTGGGTTTCCCCTGTGTAAGAGCAGATGTCGCTCTGGGAGACGGGTATAGACAGCAAAGATGAAATTAAAAGACCCCCCCCAATATAGGTGGTGCTCATCTAGTGGTTGTTCGCTACCTGAGGAATTCAGGAGACAAGCTCTGGGAACATATATCTATCCACACAAAGAGTGACAATGTGGCCATACTGTGTGCAGACCCAGTGCTCATGGACATGGTCCTGAGGTTAGCACCTATCAGGCTCTACCTCGTTTTTTTTGAGACAGGGTCTCTCATTGAAGCTAGAGCTTACAGATTCAGCTGGTGGGCTAGCAACAAGCCCAGGGGTGCATTTGTTTCTGTCTCCCTGCAGAGGGACATTCTACATGGATGCTGGGGACCTGAACTCGGGTCCTCATGCTTACACAGAAAGTTCATTACTGAAGAACATCTCAGTTGCTTCCAAGTTTGGACAATTAGGAACAATTCAGTCATAAACACCCATACATAGATTTTTGTGTGAACATATTTTCAGTGCCATTGAGTAAAGGCCAAAGAGTTGATTGCTGGATCACAAGGTAGGATTGTGTTGAGTTTTATGGGAAACTGCCTTCCAGTCCCTACAGTACATCCCACCAGTGACGAGGAACATTGCTCTGACTCCATTTTGTTGCTGGTATTTGGTGGTGCCAGTGCTCTGAGTTGGTCATTCTGAGAGATGCACAGAGGCCTCTCACCATCAAGGGTGACCTTTCCATACCAAAGATCTTCTTCAAGTGGCAGGGCTCATCATGGGCCTTGATCTGCCCCTGACAAGAATGTAGCCATCTGTGCGGTTTCCTCTTCAAAGCCCCTGCCCTTTTGGGCCCTCCTGAGCCTTTTGGAACCTTTCCTAGGACCAAGTGGCCATCTGCTCCACCACAGGGGTGGTAACGGGCCCCTCTGAAGTGCGACTTGCTCTTCTGGAGCACATCCTGGAACAAAGTCTGCAGCAGAGGACAGAAGGACCCACCCCATGCTTCGAAGCCACAGGCCACCTTTGTGGTTATTGCGATCCTTCTTTTCCCTTTTAGCAGTAACTGAACCCATAGCATGGGTAACATATCTCAAAGGATCCTCTAAAGGTCTTTCAGGAACCCCCTGCCCTGGCAGAAGCACCCTCCCCACCTGTCCACACTCTCTCTCCTGTGGGATCTGTATGCTCAGGCCTCTGAGGTCATCTTCCCCTGCATGGGCTCTTAACATGATGCAGAATAAGAATAAGAGGGTACCTGCCCACCTCATTGCCTCCTCACCAGTAGCCACTCTATCTCTGTGGCCCATTACTGTGTGTGCTCCCTGGTTTGTATAGGTTCAATGGGGGCTCCTCTCAAGGTTTTATGCTTAGTAAGTGAGATCTGGGGTGGCTCACACTTCCTTCTTCTGGTGGCTGTGGTGAGATGAGGTTGGGAGATAGACAGGAATGCCAGCATCACCCTCCATGTGTGTACCAACCCTGCTTCCTCCCC